CTCCTTTTGGGGAAACTGAGTCTTAGGGCAGCACTTACCCATGGTACCATAGTCCATAACTGGCCAAGACAGAGCTCAGATCTGAGCCAGCTGGTACATGCCTATCATCTTAACTATGATGCCAAGGGAGAAACGCTAGCTGTCACTGGACTGGCCCCCAGGGCCCAACCTCAAATGAGCATGCACCCCACCACCCCAGCCAATCTTCCCAGAATGTAGCACAAAAACCCTCCTTTCCCCTTGAGGAGCAAGAGGCAGTGGGTCCAGATGTGGGTAATCATGCATCATTCATTCATTCATCTGTTTATCCAGTCATGTGCTCATTCAACAAACACTTATCCAGCAGGTACTATGTACAGGGAATGGGCTCAGACTGGGAGTTGGGGGAAACTGTCATACGTAACAACTGTAGCTGGCAGACAGTGGGCAGAAAGACAGGAAGGGGTAGTCAGAATCAGGGAGCTGTGAGGTCATTTTCCTGCCCTGCTCCCCGACCCAGGTTGGGAATTGTCCTAGCTGGGCACATCCCGCTCCTGCTCTGGACAGGCACTTGAGGGCTGAGGCCACTCCCTGATGATTTTATTAGCTTTCTGGAGAGCATATGATCCATGGATGTGTAACCTCAGAGCAGAGGACGCTGTGCAGGCTAGGTTTCGCATGACTCTTACTGACTGATAGGCCTTTCAGAAAACAAAGAGCACAAGAGAATTCAGTATGCTCCTGGCTGTGAGCCAAACCAGCCTCATCTCCTGTGCTTTGTCAGGTGTGTCTTTTTGTCTGCCATCATCACTTGGCGAGTGCCTCTGTTTTAACTACTAGGAGGAAGCCAGCATGTGTCTGTGGTGTGTGTGTGCATGTGCCCATAAGCTTCCCCTCTGCCCAGCCTTCTTGTGGGCAGGAGGGAACAGGGGAATTAACAACAGCTCCCCACACTGCTCTTCCCTGAGCCCCTTGACTTTGAAGCCAACACCTGGAATTTTTGTCTTGTGTTCCCAAAGCCAAGTCCAGAGATTCAAAGATACGGACTTCTCAAGGTCACACAGAGGCTGAGGGCAGATGTAGAGTGGAGGCTAACTTTCCATCTTTTTCAGCACTGGTTGTGCTGAGCTGCAGGTTACATTCTGGCGTCATGAATTGCTGCCCCAGCTTGGAACGTCCCCCTTTTCTATCCTTCCTCTGGCTGTACTCACCTAAGGAATTCTTCTTGGTGAGAACAAGGAAGCCCTCTGGGGGAGGTGACAGGGAGAGTTCCTGAAAAGGGAACCAAGTTTACAGATCTCAAGTGGAACAGCAGCCGGGAGTGCCTGACAGTCTGCAGGTTGGGGGTGGGACTGTGGTTGGTCGCCCAGGTCAGAGCCGGCAGCCCAGCAAGCCAGAGATGAGCTGCCAAATCAGGGGAGCTGCCACCCGATGCAGTTTGTTTCAGGGCCTTTCAGGGCATGAGACCCTTCCACATCTGGGGAAGAACCCCTCGCCCTGGTCTCTTTTTGCCACCTCCCTAATGCCTCTAGTGTCTGTCAGGCTAAAGCCCTGGGTACCAAGGTTCCCAGTTTTAAATAGGATTTCTTCCCAAGCCCTCAGTCACTCAACTGCAAACAACATAAAGGGTCTCCAGTCTGGGAGTCTCCTTCTGCCACCAGAGCCCGGGAAGGAGACTGATCCTCGGTTTCTTCAAAGGCTAGGTCGCTGTGCCCAATCCAACTCCTGGCTCAGCCCTGCCTTCCCAAGGCTCTTCTTAATAGAGGTTGCCATGGCCCTGGATTTGAGGCCCAGCCAGGACTCACCACGACAACAGAAAAGACTGGGTGGCCATGGCATTTGACTCTCATCTCCCCTGGCCAGGCCAGGACTGGGTCACTGCTGCCCCAAAGGGCCTGCTGAATTGCATGCAGTTCAGAGCTTAGCTGCCTGGGGCCACAGGTCAGCAGGGAGGTAATGAGTCTCTCCAGCAGCAGCCAGCTGCCCAGGAGTGAGGAGGGCCACAAAGAGGGCCTCGGGGCAGACTCAACACCCTCCTGTGCCCTGGTGCCTCTTCAGTACAGCCCCCACTCTTTGTGCCACCTCTCTGCCCAGGGAGTCCACTCCGTCTGACAGTGGTAGGACCAGTGGAATTGCTCAGGGTGCGTTTTGGGGGCGCCTCCCCACTCAGCTGGGGAGAGTTTGAGATGGCTTGAGGGGTCTCCCCCAATGACCCAAAGTTGAGAAAAAACAGAGACCTGTGCCAAGGGTACCCTCCCTCTGGAAAGGAGACCAATGCCTGTAGGAGCCAGGGATCATCCAGGCCAAGCTTCTCATTTTCTGATGGGGAAACCGTGTAGACAGAGGAAAGGGCCCTGTCCCAGTTTAACCAGCTGGGGAGTGTCAGCCTGAGCCAGAGAGGGGACCTTCTGCCCCCACCCTCCGCCCCTACCCTGGGTTCTTTCTCTGCCCTCACCATCCCACATGTGTGAACTCCACATCCATTGAGGAATGCAGAGGCAGAAGAGACCTGGCCATGAACAGGGGTCTGGAGCTGATGGGCTTGCAGGTGATACTCCTGCCCCACCCTGGATCTTGTGCCTCGCTCCTGCTATGCACAGATACTGTGGGGAAAGGCCAGGGTTGAGCAGGCTCAAAGGAAGACCATATGGCCTTCCAGGGCCAGCAAGTGCCTTTGGCGTCCAGAAGACAGTCTTTCAGGGTTACAGGGTGCTGTGGTAAGGACATTCCTTGGGCAGGGTGGAGCTTCCTGCCCCTCTCCCAGTCTGTGAAGCTGGTCAAGTTCTCCTGAAGCCCTCTGAGTCTCCACTTTGCATCTGCTCCCCTTGCCTGCCACTCACTTCACATCCCACCCTCAGCCGTCCCCACCTGCTAGGTCAGTGACTTTCAACACTGCACTAGGTCCACCTGGGGAGGTTTAAAAACCATCAATGCCTCATCAATTAAGTCTGAATCTCTGCAGCTGGGGTCATTCAGGCAGCCAACCTCTTTCCCTCACCACCCCACACATGTCCCTGCCTAATGTCCCCAGCTCTTTCAGGTCCTGCTTATGATGTTGATTAACTCAAACTGTGGAGCTAGAGGCTTCATGGTTACCTGAGCATTGGGAAAGGTGTGCAGAGCATACACGGTCTCTGCTTTCCACAACCAGCGAGGGCTCAAGACCACCACAGCCAAGAACTGCCCCAGAGTAGGGCGTGATGCACTTGAGGGTGTGCACATGGAAGGAGAAAGGCTCAGGGTTTTCCCAGGAACCAGTCCTGGCAGACCATTCAAGAGGCCCCTCCTCATCACAAGGGACCCCAGCCTTGGCAAGACTGGTTTGAAAACCCAAGTTTGAAAGGATTCCTGGTAAGATACATGCTCTCTCTGGTGGTAATAATGGGAATTGCATACACTCAGACAAAGGCTGTTTTTGTTGCTATTGTGATTAAGAGAAATTTACCCAATCACTTCTCAGGCTTGGGTGTTCTTTGTGACTTGGTTTGTACATGAATTGTGGAAACAGCCAGTGTGAAAGGAAAGTTCAGAAGCTCACAGTCCACGAGACCTTCATCAACAGGGAAGGAGAAGTGAGAAGGAACCAGACCAGGCAGGTCACAGATCTCAGATCACCTCCAGGGCCTGTGGTTCTCAACACAGGCTGCTCCCCAGAGTCACCTGGACGCTTGTTGAGTGTCAGCTTGAGTGAGACCCCAGCTGATATTCATTATGTCTGGAGAGGATGCTGGGTGTCTGGTGCCCTGAACAGCACCCCAGGTTCTCCAGGTAGATAACCTAATGAAGCCTCACATTTCATGGGATCGAGGGCTTGTAGCAGGGGCAGAGAGGGAAAGTAACTCACCCAGGACCATTTTCCCTCCAGAGCAGCTGGACTTTTTATCTGAGTTGGCTGACTCAGAGCCTGTACATGGTGGGGAGGCAAAAAACCACAATTATCTTCTGGAAAACAGACCCCTTGTAGTCCAGGCTTCCCCGGCCAGGTGAGTGTTCTAGGAATCCGTCTGTATCAGTGTACCTACCAGCTGGCGTTGTGAGAGGCTGTGTTCAGCTTCAGTGAATCTTTTTGTAAGATTCTTTTAACACATTTGCCCATTTCTTGATGAGTGATTTACTAGTGCACCTGCCCACACTGCTCTGAGTTTCAGCAGTTTTTGACCAAAGCCAGCATGACCCCCATGCCCCACCCTCCCTAGTCACCTGATCTCACCCTGAGTGACTTTTTTTTGTTTCTACAGGTGAAAAAAAGTCCTCAGAGGGAAACATATTGCTGATGTGGAAGAGGTGAAACAAAAAACAGCAGAAGCACTGAAAGGCATCAAAATCTATGAGTTCAAAAACTGTTCTGAGCAGTGGGAAAAACGTTTTGATAGGTGTATTACATCAGATGCAGAGTACTCTGAAGGTGACTAAAATTAATACATGTAAGAATAAACAAATTATTTTTTATAAATAAGCTCTGGGGGATGTTTTTAGGCTTCCCCTCATATATCAAACATTCTTCTCTTCACTGCTCCAAGTGGGCCACAGGCCCGGAGTACCACCTCTTCTTGCTGCTACATCCAGGAAGCTTCAGAAACTCCTGAAGGCCCCCTGGGAGGACCTGCTCCATTCTCGTTCACACCTCCCACTGTTGTGGACAGCCCAAGTGTGTGCTCTTCTCGTGTAGAAAAACACTGAGTTCTATCCAGGGGTTTGTTTGTCACATTTTATTTGTCACCAGTGAATGAGCCCACACTCAGAGCAAATTCTGAAAGGTGAGGATTGTCTATTTTTCTTTCTTAAGGATTTTCTGTGTTTAAGCCTTCTGTGATTCTGTAGGACTGATGGTCTTCAGGACCTGGGGGATAGTGGATTAAGACAAAAAGCTCAGTTCTCAAGCAGAATGGTGGCTTACCCTGCCTCTGTTTCCCAAATGCACCCTGTTTATTGTAAACTCCGCTAGCTTGCTGCTATCTTGGGCTCCGCCTTCCCACCCCTCCCCTCCTCTCCCTTCTCCTCCCCTCCCTTCCCCTTCCCTCTTCTCCCCTCCCACAAGGCCTGCAGACCCAAATGTGGAAGGTGGACACTAGGTGGTGCCTCGGTCCCACAATCCCCTCCAGCATCCTGGAGGCCTCCCTAAAGAGGGGGAAGAGAATAGAACTGCCCTGGGGAAGCACACTGTACTGTAAGGGGCCACCGGCATGAGTAGGAGGACCAGCCTGATACCATCTCAGGCTGAAGTTGTTCTGCATAGGGGCCTGCCAGATGAACAGGAGCCGCAGGAAGGTAACAAGGGCCCTAGCCCTGGGATTAGTCAAGCCAGCATGAATGAGTAGGTCTAGATGAGGTCCACTGGCCCCAAGAGCAGAAAGGGGGTGATCTGAGCTTAGCACCAATGTCAGGAGGCATGTAGGGAGACAGCATGTGCTGTGGCCTGCATCCCCCCAGACTACCCATCTTGTCATATTGGTGCACTTGGGGAGATGGCAGACCACATTATATGGCCACCAGCTGCCACACTTAGGGACTTGCAGGCTTGTCTGCAGCAACTTCCAGTGGTATAGTTCCAACAGTGGCACTCAGAGCCTGGGCAGATACCCAAGCAGAACCCAACGGACCTGATGGCTTTGAACCTTTGACATTCAGACTCCTGGATTTCTTGCTGCCTGGCATTTGGAAAACAGGCTGAGTCTTCTGTCCAGGGCTCTTGGTAATTCAGGGGAAAGGAGAGGCCTACTTGCTTTAATAGGGCAATTAATCAAAAAACAAAAGAGACCAGGCCGTATTGCACTCAACTTGGACAGACAAGTCACAGAAGTTACAGGAGAGAAGGTGGGGGTGGGGGAGGCAGGCTAAGGAAGGAACCATCTCTAAGCTCAGCTTTATTATTAGGAAGAGGTGACAGGGGTTGCAAGGAGGTGATGCCCATCCAGGCGTCCCATGAAGCTTGGTGCCTCCTTTACTCTGAAGGTCTGGCAGTGCTGGGACAAAGATCTGCAGCTCAGGGAAGGCTTTTCCATTGTCCCCAGAGCCATGATGGCACAGCTGACTCTGAAAGGATAAAAGCAGGTTAGGGGCTGTGATAGGGCAGAGGTGGGGTTTCATTTCATTCCTCGCTTATTTTACCTTTCTCTGGGGCATCTCTGCAGCTCCCCCTTTGCCACAAAACCATGCCAAGCAGTTGACCATCACAGGCAACAGTCTGCCTGGCTGATGAATGGAGGAGCCTAAAATTCTTCCCAGCCCAGTCTCAAGCTCTCCCTTACTTCTCCACAGCCCTCCCTGGCTGCCCCCTCTTCTGCCCTTCCCAAACATACCTGTCATTACAGCTCATCTTCACTGACTGGCCTAAGATGGGAGAAGGAAAAAGGACAGGTAATACTAGGTCAGTAGGAAAGGTAGTAAGTCTAGGATCCCTAAGGTTGGGGCCCCCATAACAGGCTTCAGAGACCAAGATTCTTAACCTGTCCCTCTTTCCCCCGTGTCCACCCACCTCAGTCTGTTACCCAAGGCAGGCACTTACCGGTGCTTCTTTTTGCCCCTGCAGCGGAGTCTTTTGCCTTGAAGAAAGAAAAGATGTTGGTTTCCACAGGCCTTTCTCTTCCAAGGAGACCCTGTCCTACCTGGAGGACTCAGCTTGCACTCTTCCCTCCCTCCTCCCTGCCAGCACCTCACAGAGGTCCTGGGGTGTGGCTTGGAGACCACAGCCGACTGCGTCTCTCTTTATAGAGGGCTGGGCTGAGCCCATGCCAGTCAGTCAGCTGGTCCATAAACACTGACTGCAGTGGTTCCTCAGTGGCCCATGAGCTCATGAGAGCAGTGGCCAGCCCAGGGCCACCATGATGCTCTTAGCACTGTGCTGGGCACAGAGCAGCTAGTCAATAAACTCTTGGAGATGGATAGCAGTGAGTCCAATATTGCTGCTCTGGCCTGTCTGCCACCATACATACCATCTGCTCAACCACCACACACTGCTGCCCTCCAGAAGCTTACAGGAGAATCTGGGGGAACCATCACATCTGTAGACAACAACCTTGAGATGGAGTGGCATTGACCATGGCTGGGTTACAATTCCAGGACATAGGACTATGCTTGCTACACTTTGTGTCTTCTTTTCACTCATTGTATTTCTGTGTATTTTTCTTCTGGTTGCACCAAAACAAGTCAGTAAGTATTCATTAAGCCTGTGCTGTGTGACTGATGGAGCTGGGGGATGAACAAGGACCCTTCTGTCCCCAAGAATGCACCATACATACGTCGGATCCTTCAAAGTGTTTTCTTGGCTGCCATGTCTTTGGACGCTAGCTTTAATCTCATGAGGCAAGTGAGATCACCCCTACTTAACAGACAAGGAAACCTTGGCCCAGGGAGTTGGGGTAAACTGGCAGTGGGGCCTAAGACTCTGGCTGTTAGCCACATTTGCTTTCTAACAGCAGGTGGGGAGTGGGGGCAGGGTGGACACCCCTGGTCCAGCTTAACCAACTCTGCTTCTTATTGGCTGTGGAACTGTGGGCAAGTTGCTGCACCTCTCAGTGTGGGTCTAACTTCCCCTAGAAAATGATCACAGTCATGGCCATGCCCTAGTGTTGCTGAGAAGATTAAACGGGCTGGATGTAGCTCAAGCCAAGAAAGTGCCAGGTCTGAGGATGCCGGGCATCCAGTAGAAGTTAGTTCCCTCCCTTACCTGACTCCCCAACCTTCAGTTACACTGGAACTTCCCAGGGTCAGGGGTTGGGGGGTCAGGTAGCCTTACTGGACTCCCCCACCCCCATTTACATGCGGCAGCTCCTCCCGGGTCCACTAGAAGGTGCACTTGAGAAAGATGGAACTTCATCTGTGTGGTCCAAGGACCAAGTAGGGTGAGGCTCTGAGAAGAGATGCATCCCCATCCAGCATCCCCCCTTCCAACATGAGGCTGGCCCCACTTACTGAGGATGATGATGAGCCCCACCACGAAGGCTAGGGCAGCAAAGATCAGGCCCCCATTGCGGACAGTCTCATAGTCTGAAGAAGCAGAGGGCAAGGAGGTGAGATGGGTTATCCAGGCACTCCTCCCCTCAGCCCACACTAGTAGTAGCCCCACAGTAACTGGGGAAGGTGGGGCACATAACCAGGGCTGGGAGAGGCTGAAGACCAATTGGGAGTGCATGGAGGCAGGCTCAGGAAAGGTAGGAGGAGGGGCCCATCAGGCTTACCATAGTAGAATGGGTCCATATCCCCCTTGGGGCTGCCACCTGAAGAGAGAGCCAAAGACAAGGTGAGGGGCAAGTCACAGATGGTGGAGTGTTCTAGCCACAGAAACAGTGGAACTCTGTCGTCCTTGTCCCAGCACCCCCACCACAGGATCCAAATGGGCAAGGGTAGGCTGGTGAAGAGAGACCCCCTAGAAGATGAGGCTGGTGATCTGCAAATGCCACTGTCAGTAGAGGCATCTGCTTAGGCTACTTCAGACACAGTCAACCTGGGACCGAATACTAAGCAACCAAAGCAGGGAGCCATGCTGCCTGTGGGGCCTCTGGCAACTCTGGGAGAGGTCAATTTTTTCTTCTCCTTGCTTTATAAAAAGTAGGAAAAGATCAAGAAAAACATCTCCCATTAGACTCACCAGCAGCCTCTCCTCATAAGACTAACCAACTGCAAGGGGCTTAGCAAATATTTATGAGATGGATGAATGGATGAATGGGGAAAAAAGGAAACTAAAGCCCAGTTTGGAGACTTGTCCAAAATTCCAAGGAAAGTTGGAGGTAGAAGTAGTCTTCAGCCAGGTTTCTAGATGCTTCTTTCTTATGTGGCTATCCTTTGGGGAAAGCAGATTTATTTAAGCAACATTAGTCCAGGCTGGTGTGGCTCAGTGGATTGAGGGCCCACCTGCAAATCAGAGGGCTGCCAGTTGGATTCCCAGTCAGGGCACATGCCTGGGTTGCAGGCCAGGTCCCCAGTAGGGGGTGTGCAAGAGGCAGCCACAAATTGATGTTTCTCTCCTTCTCTTTTTCCTTCCCTTCCCCTCTCCCTAAAAATAAATAAAATTTTTTTTAAATTAAAAAGAACAAAAGAAACATCAATATATAGTGCTTACCACATGCCAGGCTAAGTCTAACAAGGCATCAACTTGTTTCACCACATAACAGCCCTGTGAGGCTTGAATATTATTCCAGTGTAATCATGAGAAGATGGAGGCACAGAGAAGTTCAGTAACTCACCCACACTTACACAACTAGTGAAGAATAAAGCTGGGATTTGAACCCAGAAAACAGGTTGCTAAGAATCTAGGTACTTAACCCTTTTGCTATGCTGCCTCTCAGGTAGTTGGAAGAAAGGATACCTTTCAGAGCCAAGTCATCTGGGTCCAGTCCCTGCCTCCTGGGCTTTTCCCACTGATGTGAAACTGCTCATCAGCCAGCAGCTGTCAGCTCTGCCCTCCAGTCCTGTAGACTGAGCACACTTGGCCTTCGGAAACCGGAGGGCAGTATGGCCAGAGATTTTCTGCCACTGCTGACGGTGGCCCCTCTTTCCTGCTCAGTTTGAGCCCCTTCTTGGCACTAGGGAAGCAGTGCCCAAGGTCAAGGGAATGCACAAGTTGGCACCTCACAGGCTGTGTTGAACTGTGCCCTAGGCAGTGGGAGGCAGCAGGGCCTGGTGAGCCCAGCTGCCCTAGCGGGCTGCAAGCTCCCTAAGCCAAAAGGAAACAGGCCCAGAGGGGTCAGCCTGGGCCTGAATGTCAGAGGCCAAGGGGAACTTATGTGGATCCAGGTGCCTGTCCCCACACAGAAGGCCTTCAAGTTTGTCTCAGTTTAGGTCTTGTGCAAGGTCACTTGGGGAGTTAGTATCAGAGCCATGACTAGACTCATGACTTCCTCACTACACCAGGAAACCATCTCCTCCCTGACCACCTCGTCTTGAGCCCTTTGATGAGCTGGCCCCTTCCCCCAAGCCCTCATCTGTTCTGCATCTGGCTCAAAGCCCACCACAGTCAGCAAAGGCCCCTGTTTTCTGCCAGGGCCTTAGTCGCCCTCCATTACAAGAATTCTTCAGGGAGTATGCCCTTTACTTGGGGGCTTTCCCCTCAAAGCCAAGCTCAGAAGGCTGACCAGAGTGGCTTGCTGTCTCTCCAGCCTGACCGACATCTGCCTTCTGCTGTGAGCCTAGAGAGTCCAGAAAGATGCAATGAACCAGGACAGGCTCATGCCAGAAAGTCGAGACAGAAACTCATCCCGGCAATCCTGGTTGCCACCCGGTGCAGTGGTTCTGCCATTCAAGCTACATTTCTCAGGAGTTATGGCAGGATCCTCTTTTAAAAGCAAATATTTGTAAATAGGAGAGTGGCTCAGGGTTAGGGAGCAGTGCTTTGTACTCTAGAAGGAAGAGCTGCCAGGAGATGGAAGAGTGCGATCCAGCTCGCCCCTTTAAATGTGGTCCAAGCACACATTCACACATACTCACCATCATCTGTCAATGCCCCTGCCATTTCCCCAATAGATTGGGCTCGATTCTGCTGCCTTCCTCCTGCTGCCTCAGCTTCAGAGAGAGTACCTGGCCGTGGGGTGGCCAGGGACAAGGTGGGGGCATTAAACATTAACAGTGCCAGCTAATATTTACCCTGGTCACAAGAAAAGCCCTGGTGTGGACAGAGGGGCTCCCGCTGAGGCATAAGGAGGTGCTTCAGCAGGCGGGGACAGGCAGGAGTTGGCCGGTTTTCCAAACCCTTACAAAGGAAATTTCCAAAGAGGAGGGCCAGGGATGGCTGGCTGTGGTGTTCTTCCATAGCTGGAGAAGTCACAGCTTGGGCTGTGGCAATGGGAAGCAGGAAAGTCAAACTATGTGCAGAGTGTGCTGTAAGCAGGGGCTGACATCAGGTTCCCATGGAGGCCCCTAACCTAGCAGCTGCCCAACTCACCAACTAGTGTGGAGATCACTGTTTCTACCAGTGGATTTACTTGGTATGTAAGGCTTCCCTGAGCTGGTCCTGAGGTGCCTGGTCCCCTCTCACCTCATGGCGTACCCGGAGCCCTCCATGCATAGTCACACTTCTCGGCCTCTGCTGCCTTTCCTCTGTTATCTCCTTCCTCCTGAAGCTGCATCCTGGAGCCCACACCTCAGTCAGAGAAGCTCTCTCCCTGCCACTCTTGGCACTTCCCTTTTACAGCCACAGAGGGCCTGCCCTGCTCAGTGTGGCTCTCTAGTTGCTTGCACTCCAGTTTCTGATGTTGCACTGAAGGTTTCTTCAAGAAGGGGACAAGCCTTACCAGAGAGGGAGAGAAAGTGCTTTTATAATTTACAAAGCACTTTCCTTACTGTTATTTCCTTGAGCTTTATTTTATTCCTCATTTTACAGTCAAGGAGTCCTTTGCAGTCATTCTACAGAGAGGGCAGGGCTCTGATTCAAGGTCACACAGCCAGTGAGGGGCAAGGTATAGACTGCCAGCCAGCCCTTTGGCTGTAGGAGTCAGGTGCTTTTCCATATCTCTGACACCAACTCCTCACCCCACTGCAGCTTCCTTTACCTCAGGCACACTGGTGCTGGGTACTCTAGGTGCTCAGATTCCTGGCTGAGTTCTGGTCAATTGAACTGGCCTCCAAAAAAAAAAAAGCTGGTGCTGGATAGAACCAAGGCCAGTGTTCGTGTCCACGGGGGCATGGTTAGTCATTCCAAAGGGACTGAATCCATCTATCAGTCCTCCTTTAGCAGTGGTAGGGGTCAAGGTTTGAGTTCATTTCCTGGCTCCTACACTTGCTGAGTATGTGGTGTCTGTTCTCTGTGCCTCTGTCTCCTCATCTGTAAAGTAGGACTGCTGCCCACCTTACAAGGTGGGTGTGAGCTAGCACGGGGCCTGGGACACAGAGAGTGTCATCACTGTTAGTATGATATTTATGTTGACTAGAGAAATAATAGGGATTATTAACTCTGTTGAATCCTAGCTGTTGGACATGAAAAAGCTACCCACCCTCCAGTGAGAGTGAGATAGAAAGAGAACGTCACGGCCTACAGCCCCCTGTCTCAGCTTTCTGTGGCTTTTAGAGCCAAGGAATGAATATTCACCATCATTTTATAACAGAGCTAGTTTAGTAGCCATTGACAACCTGTCATACTCTGCATACACTAATCCAAGCTTGCTCTTTCTACATATAAAGAAACTGGGGCTAATCCTTTGCTTCCCAAAATGACCCTGAGGCGGCCAGGGCACTGTTGTGACCTCCACTGGGTACAGCAGAAAGACTGAGGGCAGGGAGTTTGAAGGACTTGTCTGAAACGTCTAGTTAGGGACAAAGCCAGGGCTAGAAACCTGGGCACCGAGGCTGTGCTCCTGAAGCTTCTTCCCCACACAGGCGTTGGGTCCCCGATCATGCATCCTCTTGGCATCTCAGTGTATTTTGTCTGTCTTTGTAAGCCACCATGGAGTCTTTCTGGAATAATAAGGGATATAAAAGACCTGGGGAGATAGACAGATGGATGGATGGATAGATAGATTAGATAGATAGATAGATAGATAGATAGATAGATAGATAGATAGATAGATAGATAGATAATAGACAAAAAGAGGAACAAGGAAAGAAAGTTGAGATTGCATTTTTGAAGTCCAGGTGCAAGGCACTGCTCTAACCACTTTACAAAAATTAAGTCATTTAATCGCCACAGTTCTATGAGATAAGGAAGGCATTGTTATCACCCTCATGTTATAGATGAAGAAACTGAGGCACAGAGAATTGAAATAACTGGCCAGAAGTCAGACAGCTAGGAAGTGGAGAAATCAAAATCTGAACCCAGCAGACTGGTTTCAGAGTTCCTGCAGATGGACAGATGGATGGACAGATAGATGGACAGATGGACAGGAAAGGAGGCTATTGGACAAGCTGTCCTGCCAGCTTTTGCAGCTCAGAGATGCTCAGAGTATGGACAGCAGTGTGCTCAGGACTCCACACTGAGCTGTCCTTATTTAGAAATCCTGCCTCTCCTGCACTTCTGGGGGCTGGTGGCTATACTGGAAAGGAATGAGGTGGACACCTGTGTCAGAATTTGAGAAGGTAGGAGGAACGGGCTTAGGGGACTCACCCAGGTACCACCTGTCCATGGCGGGAGCTGCTGGCTGTGTCCAGGAGGGAGACAGTTGTGAGGTACCTGTTGCTGAGGGCCTGGGTGGAAAGAGTGGCACTCCCTCCCTCCACACTTCAGCCAAACCCACTGGAAGGAAGAGACAAAGACAGGGAGGAGGGGCTGGCAAGGGAGCCCTCACTTTGTGCCAGCCTGCCTGGGCGGGCTGAGGCCAGGGATCCACGTGGGAGGAGGCACCTGAGGAAGAGGGAGGCTGTTAGCCACTGCAAAGCAAACTGCAGCCTCCGCACAGGCTCCCCTCTCCCAAGGGACAGGTGCCACCTCCATCACCCTCCAGGCAGCCCAGGCTGCCTGCCAAGGTTACCAGAACCCAGGAGGACACAAGCTGAAGCCAGAGCCCTGAGCATCACAGCCCCTGCTCTCTGTCCAGCCCCTGGTGGCTGAGGGAGACACTCAAGGGCATTTGTGTGTCCCCCTGAACCTTCGTTTAGCCGCACCTCATTCCTCCAGCCCAGTTAGGTCTTTGCCCTGATGTCTCCTGTCCCGAGACTTCACTCTGTAGGTAGGAGTCCCCTGAGATTGAACAGCAGCCCCTTGGAAGCTGCCCTGGGCAGAGGTGGGGAGGTGAATAGGGTGACAGGATGCTTTCCCAGAGGCACCAGCTGCAGCCTCTGCCGTCATTTCCACAGCAGGGCAGAGCTGAGGAGCAGCTGTGGCACTAGTCCCCACAGTACCCTGCCCTTCCTCAGCAGGGCCCTCCTCACATAGCCCCCAGCGACACTATAGGCTGCTATGTCAGACCCACAGCTCAGCAGCCCACCTGGAGACACTGTAGCCTCATGAGGCCGCTGAAGACTGCTGGTCTGTGCCAGAGGGGAATGGGCAGAAGACAGCACTCTTAGACTCAGGGCGGTTGTGGAGGGCTCACCTCCCAGCTGCAGCCAGGAGTCCAGAGTGTGAACAGCAGAGATTCCCTGCCCAGGCTCAGCCTCGTCCCCAGTCCCTGGCTGCTGAGGCTTCTGACTGCCCAGAGCAAGGCCACCACCAGCATCTCGGTGGCTCTCCCTGCTTGGCCACTCCAGCACAGACACTGAAGAGCAGGGACTGGAAGGTATGGGTTCTGGCCTCAGCTTCTGACCACAGTGATAACTCCCTTCTCTGTCCCTCCTCAGCTATACTTCTTCCCCTAGGGGTCGGCTAATGATGCCCACAGAGAGCAACCTGGAAATCTCTGTGGAAGTGGGGAATGGACAGCTGGAGGGCCTTGATCTGGCTGGGCTGAGATCTGCCCTGGGGGCCCTGGCTAGGCAGCCCTGACTCTTGGCTGCTTGATGTTTACCCTACGACCCCACGAGACAGGGGCAAATCCATCCAGGGGCAGAGCAGCTCATGTAACCAGGACTTGTGACATATTCCCAAGTAGAAACCTGTTCATTCAGGCTTCCCAAAGCTACAGATTGGAAAATTCCCCACGTGGGTCACATCAAGAGGTTCATAAATCTTGGGGTTAGATGATACTTTAGAGGTTGCCTGATCCAAACACATCAGTGGTATGGAAATGTGGATATCTCAGCCAGAACCCTCCCCGCCACACACCCCCCCACACACACATATACACACTCTGTTCCCTGCCCTGTCTTAATGCTGTGAAGGAGCATGGCTCAATCTGAAATGAAAACTTTGTGTCACAGACTGACGGACTGGACAGAAACTCCAAGATTATCACCCAAACCCCTCACTTTATAAAGGGCTCACTTTCCTGCTCAAACCCTCCTAGAGTTCAGAGATTAAACAGAAGTCCCTTTCTGTGCCTTATAAAACCCTTCTTAATCTGGCCTCAATGACCTTGATGACCTTGTCTCCAACTTCCATGGCCTCTTGTATGCACTCCAGCCATGCCGTTCTCCTTGGTGGTCCTCTGACCCTCCAGGCTTGCTCTGCCTCAGGGCCTTTGCACTGGCTACTTCCTCTATGTGAACACTCTTCTTTCAGAGAGCTCCTTGGCCAACCTGCTTCAGGTCTTTCTCCATAGACTGATACAGAAGACCCTCCTGGCACCCCAGGCTATAATTTTCACACCCACTCTCTATATTTCAAATCCCTTCTTAGATTTTTTTCAGTAGCACTTATTATATCTGGTAAGTTATGTTTTCCTCTTTTGACTAAAATTCAAGCTCCAGGAAAACAAGAATTTTTGTTTCTTATGTTCATTCCCAGATTCCCAGTGCCTAGAATGGGGCCAGGCACTTGGTGAACCCCCAATTTTGTTAAATGAACGAATAAGTCCCAGGGGTAAAATAATTTCCCCACTGGCACAGGCAGACCCAGAACTTTAGTGCAACCTCTTCCCATTAAATTACCTGCCTTATAATTGGTAGCAAGACCCAGCTTGCTCCCACAGAGAGAAGCGTGTAGCAGCACCTGCTGGCAGCTCCCCCAGAATCCTTGGAGCATTCTCTCCTCCTGCCCCTCTCCTCATGCCACCCCCCACGGCCACCCCAGGGCTTCAGCAGAAGCCCTGTGACGATGTTTATAAAAGTGTTTGCTTGCCCCTTCTGGGGAAGCCTGGGCATTAATAGTCCAGGAGGTTCTATTCCTTGCACCTCACTCACACCCAAGTCCTTCCTCAGACTTCTCCCTTGTCTCTCACACCCCCAGCTGACTGAGGCAATCAGGTCCTGGCTGACAGTAGGGACAAGAAATATTCTCTCAAAGACACCCTACTCTCCTCTAGGGAGGCCCTGGTTCCTTTAACCTGTGGCCCATGGTGCCCTGGAGAGCAGCCCAGGAGAGCCTCCCCTCCCACAAGTTTTGCATGCTGAGGCCAGACACACCCACAGTTAAATCCCTTCACATCCTGACTCTTCCCTACAGACTATGTGGTCCTGGGAAGGTCACCTCTCTGGGGCTCCTTCTTTCATCTATGAAATGAGATGATAGCACCTACCTTGCAGAGTTGTTGTAGGACTTGAGATGATGTAGATAAAAAGCCTAGCCAAAGAAGGACCTATTAAGTGCCGACTTCATTATCCTCACCCTGAGCTGGCCTTCCAGGAACAAAGGCACTCACCACAGTCCCTTCGCTGGGCTCCGTCCCCTGCCGGAGTGATCTTTAAAGCAAGATGCCAGAGCACCTTCCCCTCCCTGACCCTCAGCTTGATCTCCACCAGCGTACCACCCACCCGGCATCCCTAGCCTTCCTTTCATCCCCAGACACCCACATTGCACAACTGTTTCCTGCTGGCATCTGGCCACACTTTTAGTTCTTCCAGACTTTTCTAGGATATCGGGCCAAATGGGATGAGAGTGCTACTCTGCCACCCCAGAAAGGCTACACAGAGTAAGCAAAATTCCCCCCACCCCTCCCTTTGTCTGATTGTTCTAGACTAAAGCCAAAGAGAGCCGTATAGCCACACTCCCAAGACCCAGAAATCAGGGAGATCTTTGAGAGGTATGGAGAAGTAGCCCCAACTTCCTCTTCCAACCCTGCCATGCCCGTAGGACAGTGTCCTCAGTTGCCATGCCTCAGTATCCCCTGTCTTTCCCAAATAGGCCTCCATTTGTTCCCTGACTCTTCAGTCTCAGCAGTCTGGGTGGTCATTTCGGCTCAGTGGGGTAGGGAGGTAGCACACCAGAACATCAGCTGAGCAGTCTGCCTAGTGCTCAAAAACCAGTGACAAGGTAGAGGCCCTCTGGACCAGCCTCCCCAAGACTCGAATGTCCACCAGCTCTGCCAGACCGCATGTCTAGGCGCTGCATGACAGAGTGCACTCCTTGGACTCCAGGTCCCAGTCAATCTTTCTGCTGATGGCTTGCAGCTGGAAAGAGGCAAGAAGCCCCTAGAAAGCTCCATTTCCTGGCTTGGGTCTGTCCTCAGCTGCATAGCACATGTGGCCACTCGCAGGGAGACTCCCAGGCCCCATCTGTGCTGCCCGGAGGTCCCGAACCCCAAGGAGCGCTGGCTGCTGTCTCCTGCTGCATCTACAGATGCCAGGGTCACTGGGGGCTTATAAGGCGGACCTGGCGGGAGGTGGGTCCTACAGGGTCCATTCCTTAAGTGCTGGCTTCAAGATGGCCGTGCCATGGGGCACACAGGTCCTGGGAGCTGCCGAAGGGCAATGCACTCTGAGTCAAGGTTACCGAGGCATTTCTGCTCCCTGAGCAGGCATGGGATGGGGACATTTTCTTCTGTTTCTACAACTGGTAGACAAGGGCAAACCTGTTTGACCCACCTCTCCCACAGTGAATATACCCTGGAGAGAAATGTGTTCTTGATTTTTCTCAGAACTCACGTCTGGGCTTAACTAGAGCAGAGGCTGAAGTTCTCTCCAGGTGTAGCTCTTCTGTTCCAGTAACCACATCCCTCCTTATCTCTGAAAGCAGCTGCAGGCTGGCTGCCACCTCCAGAAAGACCTCCAGGAGCAGCCCCAACCCTGCTCCTTCCTTTCCTCTGTGACCTGATATGACCTGAAAGGCTTGAATCTGGCTTTATAACGATCTGTGTTGTTTGTTTCACAGACTGCCAAACCTATTCTGGCCTCCGTGAGGACTCAGACAATGATGACTGTATCTCCGTTGTCTAGTGCCCAGTTGCCCTCACTCAGTAACAGTTCCATCCATTTTATTGTTCCCTGTAGTTCCCAAGAACCTATGCCTCCTCGATCTGTTCCATTCCTCCCAGGAACTCAGGCACGCAGGTTTTGTGATGCCCATTTCACAGAGGAGGAAACTGCAGTGGTGCATGGACAAGTTCAAACTTAAAGCCTGGTCTGACAGAGACAAGGGGAACCCTGCTATCAGAGAGAAGTCAAAGAAATGGATTATAATATAAATATTAATAACATAATATCTACATGTAGAATTTTCTAAGTGTTTTTATGTCCACTCTATCACTTTGACCTTGTGAGGTAACAGGAAAGGTGTGGGTAGACAATGGTACAGGTGAGGAAATCAAGGCTTAAGTGGCCTAGCTTACCCTATGGCAAGGAAGGGCTTCATTTTGCAGAGAAGGAAACTGACAGATGCTAGGCTCTGCCCAACCTCACATGGCTAGAGAGGAGAGGGGAACACAAGAGAATGAGAATGTCCTGAGCCTCCTTCTGCTCCACCAGACTGTGTCCAAGCCTGGACCGTGTGGGGGCCCATATCCCAACAGCTCCTACCACACCAAGACCTTCAGAACATCTATCGCAGCATCACCTGCTCTGCCATCACTGCCTTGGCAGGTGCCCCACTATTATGTAACTAGGCATCAGGCTGGGTTTGGCCCCATAAAATCAACAGCCAGTTGGCTTGAGCTGGCTGATTCCACCCACCTGGAGCTCAGCTGTGACCGCAATGAATCACACTAATGGTGAGAGGTGACCATTCTTCCTCTTTGTGGCCTGGAGACAGATATTTTTAAGGCTCCTCCCCTGGCTCAGACAAACACACCTGACCTACCTTCTCTTTCTCTCACAGGAGGTGGGGTAAACCAGACAGAGCTGGACAGGCGTCCCACACCAGCTCCGCTCAGCCACCCTGCCTGGGAGTGATCCCAGGTGGGCAGGCCCTTCCTGCAGAGGAAGGGGAGTCGGAGCCAGGTGACCTTGGGCTGTGCTTCAGCCTGGCATCCCTGTCACTCACCCTCACCCTCCCTGCTGCTTGCACTCTGCCTCTGCCTCTATTTCAAGAACAATTTGGCAAGTTCCAAGCCACAGCCTGCAAAAAACAAGAGTGGTGGAGAGGCCACAGCTTGGGGGCCCAGAAAGCAGACTGACCTATTTTTATGTGGTATTAAATAACACAAACACCTCTGTGCAAAGACTTCAAAATCTTTGGAGTGGAATTCAGGGGGGTGGGGAGAGTTTTTCAGAGGTGAAATGCGCAGAACACCAGACGTCAATCTGAGGCCAGGAGACTGAGCATTCCTTTCTGAGAAATGGCACTATTGGGCAACTTTCCTATTCAACCAAGTTACATTGTCTATTGCCAATCAAATCACATACATGTCATGTGCCTGAAGGCTGAATGGACTGGCATGGCCCTATCCAGAAGACACACATTAAGCAGCAATCCATACATGGATTCTGTGTTCTTCTCTCCTGGCTCTACAGTGCTAGACCAGAGAGGGAGAAGGCCCACCCACTGATGAAGGGGGCAAGAGGGGGCTGTCCCAATTTGGGCTTGGACACTCAGGTTGCCCTGGGAAGGTTCTCAGAGTTCATCTCGCCTAGAGGATCCTACCAGCTGGCCATTTTCCTTCAGCTCAAGTGCTTCCAGTCATGGTGACTCACTTGTTTGGGGTCATAATGTCTGTGGGAACTAAGGACTCCCTCACAGAAGGCCAAGGTCTGCTGCCCTCACATGCCAACATGACGGGCCTACCTTCTTTCCTGTGCAGTGTAGAGTGGCACTGGGCTGGGGCCGGACCATCCCAGGCTGGACCTTGGCTTTGCCCCCAGAAGTGCAAACCCAGGGGTCTCAACCAAGCCGTCACATAGGGCTGTGAGTTCTGAATGAACTGATACAGGTAAAGTCCTCAGCCCAGTGTTTCGCACATAGCAAGTACTCAATAAATGTTAGCTGCTTTTATTATCATCATTACCATTGTTACTGTTTTTACAATCAGTCTCTTTTTTCTTCATCTCGTTTCCGAACCACTCACCTCCCACAAGATGCCCCTGCCCCCGGCCCAGAGCTGTCTAGCTAGTGCCTGCCTGGAGGAGCTGCCAGGCTCCAGATGTAGTCTCTTCAGTCCAGACGATCCTCCCCCTGGAGAAGGAAGCCGGGCCAGGCTGTGTACCCTGGATCCATCACAAATTTATTGGAGATAATCTGTTAAATGGAACATCCTGCCTACCTTGGAGATAATGGTGGAGTACCAGGAGGAGACCTAAATGGATGTTTGGGGTCTGGCAAAGTTGGGATAATCATTTCGTACATATGCTGGATAGAAGAACTATCATTCTCTATTATGAAAACAACTGTTATGAGAAAAATCAGAACCTCCCTATTGGATTATGTTACATTTATTTCTATAGTCTAGTATCATTTTTAATAGCACATATGGGGAGGTACCCACAGTCTTTTGTGGCCCCGGGACCTCCGAGGATCTTCATCTGGTAATGCTGTGAAGTCGCTGCCAGACCTGTCAACTCCCTGACCCACGAGTGCTTCATGGATGGTGGTCACAGCTGGTTTACCAAGCTCACCTGTGCCTAGGCTTTTTGGACCACAGTGATCACTGGATCGACAATGCTGAGCTTGATCTCAACTATAAGCCTCAGTCTTTTCAAAGGCCTGGGGGACTGAAGGCAGAAGCAGGCACAGAAGTAGGGCAGGCAGCATGGGAGTCGGGATGGGAGGGGCTGGGCAGGGAGTCACTGAACCCCGATCCCCACCCCAGTCCTTCAGGATCCTGACTTGTAATTCCACAGCTCTAAATAACTCACAGAATCTGGACAGACTCTACGAATGGTTTTGTTTTTGTTTTTTGAGTCCTTAAGATGTTCCAGGCATTCTTACATTAGAATAAGATGTAGTTCTTGTCCTCTAGAAAGTGTGCCTCACAAAGACCCATAGAGGTGGGGGCCACATAGCAATGACCTCCAAAGGGAACTGTCCCTCAGCTGTGTTTATTTGCCCAGCAGTACTTTTTATAAAACTGGATGGGAATGTCTTTGGAAAGACACTCTAGGTGGCCCCAGGGCCCTATGCCCCAGCTACTATGTCATGACAGCCAGTTCACAAATGGACATTATCTATTTGTCCTCTACAGTTTGGATCCAAAGTATGGTGTATCAAATGTGAAGATAAAGACAGGAACCAGTGTGACCAGAACACAGAAAAGAAGGTACTCATTGTACCTGAAGTCCAGGAAGGCTTCACAGAGGAGGGGGTATTTATATTGGTAGAAAGATAAAGGCTTGGATCATCACCTGAATGACTACCTCTAACCCCTCTTTGTCAAATTCTTAGGTAGTAGCCCTAAAATTAACCAAAGCAGGAGAATAGAACCTTTCATTTCAGACCAGTGAGCCCTCAGTCAAGCCACCGTGACTACCTTCTATTGAGGACATGCATAAGTACAGGTCCTAGGCCCTCGGACTGGTGGAGGAGGTGGGGGAAACAGGAGGGGGCGGAGCAGGAGGATGGAGGGGTGAGAAGGGGGATCTAAGTAAAGGAGGACAGAGGAAGGGGAGAGAGGAAAGGCAGCATGGGGTGGGGGGGCTAAGCATTAAAGCAGCTGGAACAAACAAGCTCCACTTAGCTATTTCTGCAGCCCTCATTTCCTCCCTCTGACCAAGGACAGAGTCCCTCTGGCCCCTCAAATATTTGAGTTCTTTCACAGAAAAGAATGCACCTCAGAGCCACTAGGAAACAAATTGTACTTTATTCCTTGCTGTTGTTGACAGGGTATATCACAGCACAGACAGCAGTCCTGGCACATGTTACGTTAGTTTCCAGGATAACACGATGGATGGGGGGGGGGGTCTGGTTCAACTTTCCACTTTCTTTATGACTTTTGACCTCTTGCTGTGGGGAGCACTGCCTGGTCTCTAACCTGCAGCAGAACCACTGCACTAGCCACTCTGACTGGTGATAGGAGGAGCAAAGAGTGCAGCAGCCATTGCTGATGCCTGACCAATGGGCACGGACAGAGAAGCAAAGGACCCCTGCTCTCCCAGTTGCCCCTCCCCAGGATGCTGCACCACCAGAATGTATCACCTGCCAGAGACCCAACTCAAGGATGGGAGTCTGAGTCCAGACTAGCTGGGCTATAGAGTAGAGCCTTGGGAGCAGGGAAGGTAGGAGAAGGGATAGGGATCCAGGGCCCAAGGGGGTTATTGCTGAGAAGATATGCAAGGGGCACATTCCCCAGGGGCTCCTTGCTGTGAACCTCCAATTGCTAAGAGACCCTCAGAACGGACAGGTCAGAGGTGAAATATGAAAGCGAGGTTCTTGCAAATGGAGTAGAGAGAGGCCAGGAAGAATGATCATGAAGGTGATGTAAACCTTCCCGAGTCCCAAGACGAGTGGAAACTCCCACCTGGGCCCTAGCCCTGTACCCACTCCTAAATCAAGAGGAGGGACTGGTCTCTCAGAGGAAAAGCAGACTCCCGGGAGTGGGAGGGGAGAGGGTGCCACGGGGAGACAGGGAGGAGCTGACAGTGACATGGCTCAGCTCCAGCCCAGGAAAGTGAGTCCGGGTTCACTACACAATGTCACCCACAGACAAGCAGGCATGAAGACCACAGTCATCACACACACACACACACACACACACACACACACACACACACACACACAATACATCACAGGAGGTGGGCAAGCCCACAGGCTGCAGCTGGGAAGGTGGGCGTTAGTTGTGGCACTAAGTGAGGACTGGTGTTCGGGGGGATGGAGCAGGGCAGGGGACACACAAGTTCCCAACTTCTCCTGGGGAAAGATCTGCTGCTGAAGTGGCCAGTCTTCTTAAGCATCAACATTTGCATCTAAAGGTTCAAGCAGCTGCCTTCGGGTTCTAGAGACTAAAGAGAGAGAGAGTTTAATTTTATTTTATTTTAGATTTTAAAGAAAGAAAAAGGGAGGGAGAAAAAGAGGGAGAGAAATGTCGATGTGAGAGAGAAACATCCATTGGCTGCCTTCCATACATGCCCTGACTGGGGACCTAACCAGCAACCCAGGCATCAGCAAACTTTCATTTTTCGGCACGATGCCCAACCAACTGAGCCAGACCAGGGAGGGGGAGGGAGTTTAAAGTAAAACAACACTCTGGCCCCTTTCGGAAATCTTCAACTGCTCATCCCCTGGCCTTTAGCCTGTTGAAACTCACAGGATGAGGCCTGTTCTAAGTGTCATGTTCCCAGAGAAGCAAGGAGAACAGTTTGAGATTCAGGACAAGGAAATAAAAGCATAGGAGGGGTGGGCTTCAGGGGCCAGGTGCCTTTGGAGGGCCAGGACCTGGGTGACATGAAAAGGAAACTCTTAAACCCAGAGTCTCCATCCCAGGACACCCTCAGTAGTTACTCAGCCTGGAGACCTAGGAGAACAGGTGTCTGAGGAAGTCCTAGTTTTTAAAAAAAGGGAGAGAGACAAGGCAAGACAACTGCTAGCTCCAGGCGCCCTCCCCTGAGTCTCCCGCACCATGCCCAGACCCTGAACACAGAGTAGACACTTGCCTCCGGGACTGGCTCCGGCAGCCCCCCCAGCTCAGGAGTCAGCCTCCCAAGCCCTGTCACGAAGATGGATGTCCTGGGCCCTGCTCTGCCCTCCTGACACCCACAGAGCTGTAAGAGGATCTAAAAGCAGTTAGGAGGTCATTCAAATGCCACAGAAGCACACTGTGTCATTCCGATGAGAAGAAAATCTGGTGTTTCAGGCACTGCACACACAGAAGTTTCTTTTAACTTACAGTTTAGGATAAAGGTGTATGCCTTATCCCAAAAATGAGCTGACAGAAGGTGGATCCCTGGGCTCAGTATTTTCCAGGGTATGTATGTCACAAAGCAAGGCAGGCAGGAACAGAGGGCTGTGGTGAAAATGGCCCCAAACTACAAAGGCCTGGATGCAGGTTCCAATATGTCATTCATTATGTGCCTGGCTATGCTCTCTGACCTCAATTCTTCACCTGCAGAATGGAGTAAACACTGTCCGTCCTGGCAGGCAAGTTTGTGTGTGACAGCTTTATGTTGAAGTTGGTAGAGCATTTAACAGTTATTATTCTACTTCCCCTTGTCCCCGTAATGAACAGTGGAAGAGGACACTACAGGCACCCTAAACACTGAGAACTGATGACACTGGTATGAGGGGAGGTGGAGGAAGGTAGAGTGCCATGTACTAGTCTCTTGACCCTTGGGTATGGTTAAAAAGTTTCATAATAAATTGGTAACTTTAAGTGGCCCTAAGGAACTTGCTGAATCATCTGTAAAAGCAGTATCTTCATGCTACGCTGATATTAGAAGTATTTCACTAGCCGTAACTCTCTCCCAAGTCACAGCCACATGGTGGCTAGGGTGATGCCCTATTATTTGACCACAGGGCTGCATCCATCTGTCTCATCACCCCTTTCAGATACAAGGCTCCTTAGAGCACAGCTCATAACAAAAGCAGTGCCCATTGCAAAAGCTAGCCCGATTCTTCCCTAGTAACAGAACCATAATGGTAGCAGAGGAAGATGCAGGCAGACAGCACCTTACCTTCCCTCCTGAGGACTGCACTTCAGTTCTCTGCTTTCTGGGGTTCTGTTGCTGGAGGGTAAAGCAGAACAGATTATAGCGAATGGACCCTCACCCACCGAGGGCCACCGGTGTAGCAGCCGTGCCTGTGCCTGACTCTGGGGGAGCCTGACCCATACAGCAAGAGGTGACTCATGTGGGATTTCAAGTCAGACAGACCTGTGTGCAAATTGTTGCCCTGCTACTTGCTGGTCACAGGAACATGGCACATTACTTAACTTTTGAGTCCCTCAGTTATAAAACTGGATTGTGATACCTGCCTTACAGGACTGTATGCACACTAAATGAGATTGGGCAGACAGAGATCTATGACACACTTTGTATCATGCCTAACACTGAGCAGGTGCCCCATACATAGCAGTCATCAGGAGTAGTAATCTGTTTGGTGGAGCTGCAGGGACATAGGCAGGGGGCCATGATAGTTACCATTGGCGGTGATGAGGTTCTCCACCTGGGCCTCCTCATCCCCTGGAGCCCTGCAAGAGAACAAGACACCAGACCTTCCATCATAGGCTTTCAGGACAAACCCAGAGGGCACCGCCCTCCTCGTTTCTGGGGCAGGGGTGCCTCGAGTAGTCTGAAGGCTCCAGACTCCCCCTGGGGCTCTGGGGTGAGGGAGAATGCGGCAGAGCCAGGACAACTTGTCGGCACCCTCCAGTGCCAGCCCCAGCCCTGAGTACCGGGAAAGGCAACCTAGGAGCTCCTAGGGGCTTGGGTTGTGTCCTGCCACAGACTTTGGACTTCTGAGGTTCAGAGCTGCCTTGGTTACTGTAGTGGACTAATGGGCTGTGCCTTTGATGTTGAAGTAGCACAATGAATGGAAGGGAGCCCAAGTTTCTACACAGCTCAGAGAGCCTCGTGAAAAGATGATGAGCAGAGACAGTGTGGCAGATCCTGAAGAGAGGAGGATGAACCTCAAGAGAGGCCCTGATACCCTCTGCCTCCCCTCTCCTGACCCCAAATGTCTCAAGGGCCTGCAGACAAGAATCCAGCACCTTCTCGCCCACTTCTCATCCCACACACTTATCAGAAGAGAGGAGGAAGTGCTAACCATCAAAATCCACTTGGCAATCCTCAAAACTTCTGCCCTACCCTCAGTGCACACGGCCTGTTTCTGAGACAAGAATCTAAAACACTCATTTGGGCCACACACAGCAAGCCTCCCTTCCTATCCCTTCCTCTCTCCCCAAATATCCACAACCATGGCATCCTTACCGAGGCTTCTGACTGAAGCTGCACTTGCATCTTCGACCTGAAAGTCAAAGAAACCATTCAAGGTCATCCTCCTGGCTTCCACTCAAGGTCATGTTCTAGCTTGGCACAGCAGTGCTTACCCTGTGAGTTGGTTCAGGCTGTGGGACCTGGTAAACAGCACCCCCTACAGCTGGGCAGTGCATAGCTTGCATAGCTGCAGGTAGCAATCCTAGGTTGCAGGAGGACTCTTCTGAGGCCCAGGTTCAACACCAGCTAGAATGGCTACAGCACCAGTCTGCCTGATTGTACAGGTGCAGCAGGCTCCATGCAAACTGGGCTTAAAGGGGAGAACATGCACAGGGGCATGTTCCTCAGAGCACACTAAGGACAGCCTCTCTGTCCTGTGTCCTGTGCTCCGCACTCACACCATACTGGACACAGCACCAGGAGGGCCACTCTGCCCTGTCTTATCTGTGCTTATTTTCATCAAGTGTTTGTCTTGTGCATGCTTCACTGTTTTACTGAGCACTTATTAGGTGCCCAGCACTATATTAGGTCCTAGAGGTAACAGGGATTACAGACAGGCTCCTTCCCTCTCCAGGAAAGGTGCTCCTACACTGTTCTCCACCTACTTGGCAGCAGACATTGTCCTTACAGGGTGAACAAAGAAACTTACTCAGAATGAGGAGGATTCCAACAGAGAAGAGGACCACAGCAAACACCAATCCCCCGATCCTCAGTGTCTGATAATCTGCCAAAGGAACAGGGTGAGAGATGGAAGAAGAGGAAGGGCCAGGGAACGTCTGCCCATCCCTCCCCTGACTGGGCTGTGCTCCCTCTCCCCACCCAGGGTTTTGGCACCACTCACCATAATGAAAAGGGTCCTTTTCTTTCTCCTGCTCAGCTGCTACAAAAATAAACAAGCCTGGTCAAGAGGAGGACAGCTCCACATCCTAGTTCCCAAATACCATAACTTGTCCACAGGCCTCCCTGCCACAAAGGGGTTCCTGGGAAGCAGGGCCTATTAAACAGAGGAGCCTGGGCGGGTCTGCCTGCTAGCCCAGGGCGGGAACAGCTCAGAGCCCCAGTGAGGATCTGTGTTTACAGCATAGCCACATACATTTATGATCCCTTCTTACTCATGTCATCCCCAAAAGGGAGGGTCTTTTTCCCTCATTACTGATGAGGAAACTGAGAGTAAAGAAAAACATGTGACCTGTACAAGGCCAGAGGCTAAAGACTGACATGCAGGTCAGACCTACAGAATTGTAGCCAGAAGTCTACAGGGGACTGGTATACTTGAGGCCTAAAAGCAGACCCTGCTGGAGCCTGTGGGGAGGGGTAGGCAGGCTAGATGGAGGTCTGTGAATGATGCGACCTTCCAGGACATTCTCTGCTAAGGTAGGAGCAGGGGCCTGATCAGACACGTGCAATCCGAGAGTCCCAACCTGAGAGTCCCAAAGGGCCAGGAGAAAAGGCCGGGGCTGCCATCCGGTCAGAGCCGGGTCCTAGAGTGCACTTACCACTGGCCAGGACAGTGGGGGCCAGCAGGCTGCACAGAAAGATCAGCACCACCTCCATGGCGTCTGGGGACAGAGGGAGGAAAAATGATGCCCTGGGTAAGAGAATCCTCACTCCAACTCTCAGCCTGACCAGGGGCCCAGTCCAACTCCCAGCTCTGCTCTCCTCTGAGCACTCACCACATGGGGCAGGTTCCACCAACACAGCAGAAGCAGCTGACATTCACCGGACTCTTACAAAGCTCTCTGCTTGCATTAATTCAATCATTACGATTGAACCAATACAATTAATTAGTAGGCAGTGTGACTAACCCCTTTTGCAGGCAAAGAACCTGAGCTTAATGGCACTCATGATAGTGAGCAACAGAGCTTAGACCCTAACCCAGCTCAGCCACTCCTCCACACCTGCCTCTCCAGGACCAAAGCCATAAGCCCAAACGGCTTTGGAGATGAGCTCATCGGTAACCTCCTCTCCAGGCCACCCTCCTGTGGCCATGTCTAGTTTATTAAGATGCCTGGGACTTCCTGGCCTGGTTCCCCAGAGCCAAGACCCATTGTTGGAAGCTCTTCCTCCTATTAGGTTAAACAGTGCAGAAAAACCAATGCTGGGTCTAGTCCAGCCAGCTGGGTGGGGCGCAGGACAGTAGTTTCCTGAGCTCTGGGAAACCTGGAAATGCTGACAGCCCTCCCAAAGTTACCCCCGACTCTCACCTTTAATGTGCTCAAGCCAACTGCTCCCATAGGCTTCAGTTCACAACCCTCCAGAAAGGTGGTTTGATTAAAAAAAGAAAGGGTGGAGACCAATTCTCTGAGCATCAGCACCATGGCCTCTCCTTCCCCAGAAGACACCAGAGACTTCTGCTCATGAGCTCATGAAGAGCCCCTGGTCTCTGGGGTCGGTCACCCCAGGATGGGCCATCTGGATAAAAAGGCCACTTGGTCCCTCCCAGGGGAAGATTTCAGTGGAGTTACATATACCGCAGTCCTGGGCTTAAAGGACTGGTGAAAGCCAAATAGGGAAAGTGTTGAGGGGGAACCTGAACCAGGAAAGTCCAAGACTGTTGGCTCTTTTCCCTTGGGGTAAGACTGGCTGTGGCCAGGACCCTACTTGTTCTGAGGGATCTCACCTTATTACTTCCCTTGGCCCAAGCTGGCAGCACCCAGCTGACCTTCCCTTCCCAGCCACCAGAGGTCAGGAAAGCTACATCCAGAGTCTCACTAAGGCACAGACCTCAGACTCAGAGATTCAAGTTTTTCAAAAGGCAGTTTTGTTTTTAATGCTACCTCAATAATTGTATTTCTTTAAAACTTTACCTATTTTATATGCATGAAAAATATATACAACACACACAATAAAGATTAGTAATAAGATGAACACCCAGTATATAGCCACCCATAAATAATTTAAGAAGTAGAACTTACAATACTGCTGTACTTACCCAGCTTTCCCTCCGTCCTATGTCCCTGGCTCAACTGCCACAGGTAAACAATATCCTGAACATATATATTTTTAGTCACTCCATTGCCCTCTTCAAAAAAAGTTTCACATTGAGGAATCATATGCCATAAAACTCATTATTTTAAAGGATCGAATTCAATGGCTCCTAGTATAGTCACAAAATTATACAAGCACCATCAATTCCAGAATATTTTCATCATCCTCAAAAGAAACCTTGTAACCATTATTAGTGACTCCCACTCTCCACCCCCCCCCCCAACCAGGGCCCTGACCACCACTAGTTTACTTTGTCTTTCTGGAGTTGCCTATTCTGCACATTTCATATAACGAATCATAGCACGCATGGCCTTTCACCTCTGATGTCTTCTGCTTAGCATAATGTTTTCAAATTTCATCCATGCTATAGCATATCAGTACTTCACTCCTTTTTATGGCTAAGTTTCCACTGTATGAATATTCATCCTGATACTCTTTTAAAAACATATCTAAATAAGGTATTATTTAGTGGAGCTTGTTTGAACTTTATAATTATGATATCATGTGGGCTTTTTTCAGTCTTCTGTGACTGGTTTTATCTGGTTCAACATTATGTTTCTAAGATTCGTCCATGTTATTACCTATAACCATACTCCATTTATTTTCAATGTTGTGTAATACTCCTTTATGCCAGTAAGTTATCATGTACCAGTCCCTTCTCCTGTCAGTGGGCATCTCCCCTCCCCAATTTTGTGCTATTAGAAATAATGCAGTTGTGAACACGCTCGGGCGTGTGGCCACGGCACAGGTGTGAGAGGTCCATAGGCACCGCTTCTCCTATCTTGACTACCACTCTCATAAGAAATACGTTTATGCTGGAACCCAGTAAAAATGTACATTCATGAACACCAGAAACAATGTCACAAAACATTAACCTCAAAAATGAATGATGTCCTAGGTCCATAAACAGGTCACTCTCAGCAATTTGGGAAATATGTTCTGGAGACAGGCCTGGGGCGAAGCTGTCAGGTAGCGGTGGGCAGGCCGTCGACTTCACAAATAATTTCAAATTATTTCCCTGAGCCATCTTCCTCATTTTCACATCCCACCAGCTGAATGTTGACTGTTCTTATTACTCTACACACTTACTAATACTTGATATTATTAGACTGCATAATTTCTACCCATCTAGAGGTATAAAAGATGGTATTGGTTTTATTTTAGTAATGGAGTTGGGGTTTTCTTTGGTTGTTTGTCATTCCTGCTTTTTCTTCAGCAACGTCTTTCATGGTTTTTGCTCATGGTTGACATACGATTCATTTCTTATTCTAAGTACTAAATTTTTGTCATTAAGTACCACAAATATCTCATGTCAATTAGTGGCTTGTCTTTCCCTTTTTAAAAGTCTTTTAAAGATGTAGAATTTAATCCTAATGTAATTAAATGCAATGATATTTGTGGCTTGTTTAAGATATTGTCACCCTGAGTCAGAAAAAGAATTTTCTTCTACAATCTGTAAGGCCTTGTCTCTTCCATGTCAGTGTTTGTCCCACTCGGCACTGATGCCTGCGCAGGATGTGAGGTGGGGATCTAACTTCTACCTCTTGCCCTAACGACAGCCAGCTGTCTTAGCACCGTTTGTGGACCCCTCTCCCCTTTCCTCATGAGGCACAAAGCCACTTGTTTCATTTATCGGCTTTCTATTTAGATGTGGGGTTCTGGGATTCTCTTTGGTCAATTTTGGTCAATTGGCTATACCTACATCTTAATCAGTATCTCAATTACTACAGCTTTTCAGAAATCTTCCTGGGTGGTACAGAAGCTTACCTCTTCCTTTCCTTCCTCTTCCACCTCTTCCTTCAGGGATGTCTTCACCATTCTTGGTCATTTGCACTTATATATAAATTTCAGAGTGAGCTTGTCGAGGTCATTTAAAACTGTTGGGCTTTTCATTGGAATTACAATGGATCTATCTATAGAAAAACTTGGGGGGAACTGACATTTTTCTGACCTTGAATCTCCTATCTATAAATAAATCTTTTCACTTGAGTAAGTGCTTTTCAATGTCCTTTAACAAAGTTTTATAAATGCTTTTCTATTATAGGTCTTCTACATCTTCTATTATTTATCCCTCGGTCCCTTACAGTTTTTATTGCTATTTTAAATGCTATGTCTCCTGCGTGTGTTTCTAATTTTTGCTGGTTTAGAGAAAAGCAATACATTTGTATATACTGATCTTAAATCCAACAATCTTGTTAAACTGTCTTACTATTTCTAATAATTTACCTTTATATCCCTTTGGATGTTCTCTGTAGACACATCATCTGTAAATGACATAGTATTGTTTCTTCTTTTCCAGTTCTTACACTGTTTATTTCTATTTCTTATCTTAGTCACTGCTAGGAATTCCAGTGAAATGTAGAATAGAAGCACTGATAATGGGCACACACACACATTGACACATATGGCTTTATTTCTGATTGTATTTTACTCCCTGTGTGTTTATTTTGTATTTTTCCCAGCTTCACTGAGCTATAATGACATACAACATTGTATAAGTTTACCATGTACAACGTGGTTTGATACATGTATATACTGTAAAATGACTACCACAATGCAGTTAACACTTCCATTACCTCACATAGTTCTTATGTGTGTGGTAAGAATGAAGAAAGAATGATATATATTTTTTTCCACATATATGATGGAATATTATTCAGCCATAAAAAGGAAATTGCTGATTTTAAATAGCATTCTTCTAATATTTTAAAAGTCCCCCTCTAATCCTGGTTTTCCAAGATATTTGTTTTATTTTCCCTTTTAATCTATCAATGAAATAAATTACAGGCACATTGTATGAATCATGTAATATTAAATCAACCTTCATTTCTGGGGTGCAACCAATATATGATCTTTTTAATAAAATCATGGATTTGGTTTGATAATATATTTTGTAGGGTTTTTGCATCCATGGGCATGAGTAAGACTAGACTGCAAGTTTTATCTTATTGTATTAATTTTGCCTGGTTTTGGCATCATGGTAGTACTGGCCTCACAGAGTAATTCCTTTCTTGCTGTTCCCTGGAAGAGTTTGCAGAAGATTGGGATATTATGTTCTTTGAATGTTTACTAGAATTAACCTGTAAATCCTCCAGGCTCGATATTTCCTTTGTGGATTTTGAATTGCCTATTACTTAATTAACTGCTATGACACTTCATATTTCTATTTCTTCTTAAATTCAGAATTATAATTTTCATAGAAATTTGCCCTTTTCTGCTTTCAAATTTATAGCCATAAAGTTGTTGATAGTATTTTCTTATCATTTTAATTTCTGTTGAGTCTGTAGTCATGTCTTTTCTAACATACCTAATATTGTTTATGTATGGGGACTCTCTTTTTTTCCCAGTCAGCCTCATCAGAGGTTTAACTATTAAGCCTTCCGAAAAACCAGCTCGTGGTTTTGTTATTCCTCTATAATGTGCTTTAAATTTTTCTTCATTGCCCCCTTAGACATTCTTGGGTTTATTCTTTTGTTCTTTCTTTATATGCATCCTCTTATGGTGGATATCCAGTGCATTCATCTTTCCCCTCTCACTTTCCACTAATGTGAGCATTGAAGACGAGAGCCCGCTAAGTGTCACCTTCACTCCAACAGGTAAGTTTTGAGATGTGTTTTTTTAATCATTATTTAGTTCTTAGTACTTTAAACTGGCATTATAATCTCTTATTTGACCCATGCACTGTTAAGAAGTGTGTTTTTAAAATGTCCAAATGAACAGTGATTTTTAATTTACTTTGGTTATTGATTTCTAACTGAAGTGCACCAGGGGTCAGAGACTATGGTCTGTAGGATACAGACACCTCGAAACTCATGGAGACTTTATGGTTTAGTTATTTTAAAAATTATGTCCCATGTGTTAGATGATTGTAAATTCCCTCATTGTTGGGAAGAAAGTCCTGTATGCCATTAAATCATAATTACTAACTGTGTTAAATTTTTATATATTTTCTCTTTGACCTATCAAAAATTGAGATAGATGCTTTAAAAACTACACTGTGAGGAAGGAATTATAAGTTTATTCCTCTGTTTCTTACAATATTCTAGCAGAAAGTTTAAAGTTGTTATAGGAAGTGGGCAAAATTAGGTTTACAGTTCTTCATATGGAAAAAGACATGCAGGTTATGATTATTACAGTAGCTTTATTAACTCTAAAGAATGTCACTGTGTAACTATAAACCTGCTTTCACCAACACCTGTACTGTCCTGTGAGCTGGGTGCCTCAGAATTATATGGTGATCCTCTCTGTCATAAATTCTACTATTTTCTACCTTATTGTGTTCTTATGCATTTTGTGTATCTTATAAAAAGCAAAGAGCTAAATTTTAACCCAATAATCTGTACTGTCAAGTTTACTCTATTTAACTTTATTGTGGTGGTGTATTTGGTCCAATTTCTACCATCTATTTCTCCCTTTTTTGTAGTTCTCTTATTTTTTTGGTTAATTATATTTTTCTTATTCACTTTTTCCTCGACTGATACAGAAATTACACAAGCTATTATAATTTCCTTTAATGAAGATCTACTAGTTATAACCTCAGTTTTTATTTATTGGAAAATGTTTTCATTTCACCCTTGTGATGCACAGACTGTGAGGTGACCCCCATAATTCCATCCTTCTAGTATTCAAGTTTGTGGTTGTAATCCCCTCTCCTTGATGGGAGCAGGTGCTGGGACTTGCTTCCAACAGAAAGAATATGACAAAGGGGACGGACTGTCACTCACATGATGGTGTTGTTATGAAAGACTCACTCTTGGCCCTGGCCAGTTAGCCAGGTGTCATCCCAATATGCCAAGGTTGTGGGTTCAATACCCAGTCAGAGCTCATACAAGAATCAATCAATGAATGCATAAAAAGGTGGAAAAACAAATTGATGGATCTGAGATGACAGAGGGAAGAACAAATAGACCAAGCTTCCCACAGTGGTTTCTTGACAGCTCTGGACAGGAGAGGGGCTATTAGGTGAGTAGGGCCCTTCCTGAGAGTAGAAAAGATACAT